TTTCAGACCCTGTCCAGACCCAACGAATCAGAATCTAAATTTTAACAAGATTCCTAGATGGTTTGCATGCATATTGAAGTTGGAGAAGTGCTGGTCTGGGTTTGTGGTTAAAACAGTTGGTGTGAAAAATCAGTCCTTGATTAAAGTTTATAATTCCCCAGAGCAATTGCTACACACACACACACACACACACACACACAAGATTTCTATTATCACTGCTACTTTTTCATCCCACTAGATTAAAAAGAGATTAATTAGAGATTAATTTTCTCTGTTATCATTTAGCTCCATCAGTGGGATGAATTTGGAATTCTAGTTCTTTTGGCTATATTTTAGGCCCAAAATATTTTTTGGGACACTAGAAAGGGTATATCTACCACAGATGGTACAAGGACTAGATAGTGTTTAATTTAGTTGTACACAGGGTCACTATGAGTCAGGATCGACTTGATGACATCTAACAAGAACAACATCTGCAAATGGAGTTCTTTGGCTATTCAAGTGGAACAAGTGTCTTTGAATTACACATCTACTACATTCTAATTTGAAAAATACTTGACCTGTATGAAGAGCTGTGAGTGTTTACTGGAGAGGTTCATAAGCTTGTTACATGATTGAGACAAATACCAAGACTCACAGGAATCTCAAATGAGGGTAAGTATCCTTCAAGAAATAACTGAACTCTAAGAATATGTATTAAGGGGGAAAAAAATCAAGGCTGAACTGAGCTAGAGCTTTGGGTTATTTTGATGTAAATAGTGTGTTTTCAAGGAAATCATATGGCAGAGCTTCCGTACATCAGAAGTGGAAATATTAATGAATTAAAGGGCAAGATTTAACACTGTTGGTCAAATGAGAAACAGTTTTGTTGCTTACAGACGCAAGTATGCCGGTCATCTGCAAACTCATAACCACTCCGGCATTCACACTTGTAGCTGCCCTTCAAGTTGATACACACAGAGTTGGGGCGACAGCGATGGAGGCCGGTTGCACATTCATTTACATCTATGAAGAAATGAGAACAGAGAAGTGCTGCTTAAATTAAGATTCCCAGAAGTGGAAAGTCTGAAAACTCAATGTTTTCTCATCACTATGAGGTTCAATGGGACTGATGGTTGCTGGACTAAACAGGAATCAAAATGCAGTGTAGCTAAGCACCAGAGATGGATGCATGTTTCAAGAGTATCATAAACAATACACAGCATTTCAAGTTATTCAAATATAAGCCACAGGGAGATATTCTTTGAAATGTTAAATTCTTTAAACATTTCAAAATTATTGAGCATTTAAGGAAAAATATTGTAAAAGTTTTTCTTTTAAAATATAAACAAATTGACAACTGCATTTTGGGGTGTAATAGGTGAAAAAGAACTAATGTTTGAAATTTTAGTTACCTCCAAAACTTACTTTTTATTTTATTTTATTT